ACTCCACCACCACCACCACCACCACCACCACCACCACCACCACCACCACCACCAGCAGCAGCAGCACTGCGCATGGTGGCAGACGATGCTGCCTCTCCCACCCCTTCCATTGCCTTGTCTCCCTCTTCTCCCTCCTTTTCCTCTTCGTCTTCGCCCTCGTCTTCGCCCTCGTGTTCGTCCTCGTGTTCGTCTTGCTCCCTCTCATCGAGGATGCGTCGCTGCCGCTCCAGCTGCGTGTCCACCGAGTCGATGATCGCCTGCACGCGCGTCTTCCCGTCCTTGCGGTACTGCCCGCGGTCTTGTGCCAGCTGCTGAATTTCCTCCTCCAAACACCCGCCCACATCGATGGTCGAGGTGGCCGACGTGGCGGTGGTCTTGCCCCTTCGAGCGACGTTGCCCTTAATGAGCGCCAGCACCACCTCCATTGGGTTGAGGTCGCTGTACGATGGCGGAGAGAAGAGCACCCTGTGGCCCTGGGCTGCGGCCAACTGCACAACCTCCGGCTGCACGTTGTCGTTCACCCACTGCTGCAGACGGAGTCTGAGCTCGCTGGCAAAGTCCGTCTCACTCACAGCGACACCCCTCGCTTGCAGGGCCGCGATGACGTCTGCCTTGTTCATCTGCTCGGGCACTGGCGTGTCTGCCGGGAGGGTGCGGTGGTAGGCGGCGTTGTCCATGATGATGAGTGATGGCTGATGCAGGTTTGGCAGCAGCGCCTCCTTGAACCAGCCGAGGAAGTTCTGCGCATTGAATGCCTTGTGGTAGTCGCCTGTGTGAAACGCCCCACGCTGCGCCTTGCTCCGCGCACGGCGCTGTTTTGGTTGCTGCTGCTGTTGAGGGAGATCGTCGTCAGCAACAGGGCATGTCCTACGGGTGTGGCCCGGCTGCTTACACCGCCCACACTTGCGTGACGACTGCTGTGGCATGTTGCCGTGCTGCTGCAATTGCTGCCGCTGCTGCTGCTGCTGCTGCTTCCCATGCCGTTGCTGCCGCTCCCGCTGCGGTCCGCTGCTTGGGTCGAAGATCCAGGGCGAGTTTGGAACCGGCCCAGCAAGGGCGCGATCGTCGTGGTCGCCGTCAACACAAGTGCGCGGGTCTGGACCCTGGACTGCGAGGGCGAAACAGTAGCGGCGACCGCGGTTCGTCTTGCGGTGGCTGCCCTGATCGTTGTTGCTGTTGTTGTTATCAACGTACGATTCATCCAAGTACACCTACGGGACAGGGTACGGACTGTGAGCAACGCAGGGCAACGCGCAGCAAACTCGTGACAACAATAACTATGCAACAACAGACACAGCCACACCACAGCACAGACAAACACAAACGCACACACACCCACACCCACACATAGACACGCAGACACACACACACACACACACCCACACATAGACACGCAGACACACACACACACAGACACGCGCGCGCAGACACAAACACGCAGACACAAACAAACACAAACACACAGACACACACACACACACACACGCAGACACAAACACACACAGACACACAGACACGTGCTCATACCTCTCTGAGGCGTTGGGCAGGCGACAGTTGCCTGTTTGCGTCGAGTTCCTTCAGGTACTTCACGAGCAGCCGGGCGTGCTTGAGCTTTCCTTGCACGACGTGCTTTTTGCGGCGGAGATACCCTGCGCGCTGGAGAAACCGCTGCACCGACCGCAGAGCCGCGGCCTTGTCCTGTTCGTCATCGTCATCCCCGAGGAAAGAAGGCTGTACGTCCACGTGCCCGTGCTGGCGCAGAAACTTAAACACTTGCACAGCTGTGACACGCTGTCCAGCCTCCGTCTGCATCTGCACGAAGTCGCGAACTTGACGAAGCACACGCTTGGTCGTGGGAACGCGCGTCGGGAGCTTGGTGTTCTTGCCACGACGATTCTCAACAAAGAGACGTTCCAGGCCCTGCAGGCACGATGCAAACAGCATGTGAGCTGGCGTGAACAGACGAGCAGATGAACAGCGCACTGGCGCACGAGCCGGCCACAGCAGATTCACCTCCTCAACTTACATCCACGCCGTGCTCTTCAAAAAGCTTGTTGAGCAGTGCGTACTTCCGCCGCACAGTGCTCAGCCCAATCCTGAGTTGTCCAAGTCAGGGGGTGACAAGAGTCAAGTGAGAACGGTCTTACGAATGACCCAGATCACACATGCCAGCTTAGACAACAATAGCAGAGAGTGTCAACATACCCCAGTAGCTCAGCAACACGTTGGTCGACCGGCCCATCTGAGGGCTCGCCGTTGGACTTCCCCCGGTTCATCTCGTGCTTCAATTTCAGCTCAATGTACACATGCAAGAGCGTAAGCGTTTCCCTCTCTGTCAGGCCTCGCTGACCCCTCAAGTCTTTGAGGTGCGCACGTACCTTTGCAAGCTTCTGCGTGGTCGTGTGCTGCTTCGTGCCGGGCTTGGGTTTGGGCTTGGGCGCAGATTTGCGTGTCCTTTGCATTGCCCGCTTGGTTGGCGGCTCCTCGTGCCCTTCCTCATCCCCTTCCTCATCACCATCATCGTCGTCCCTCAGCAGCACCATATCCGCCTCATCGGGCACAAACTCCTCGTCGCTGGACATTGTGTTGTGGCGCGAAAGTCAAACTTTGCGGCAGAACAAAAAGTATCGCTTTGTGTGTCGGGTGGTGGGCACACAATTCTTACGACAACAACAACGCAGACAAGCAAGCAAGCAAGAAGCAAGCAAGCAAGCAAGCAAGCAAGACAATAGACGACAAGAACAACAGCGATTGTGGTGCGGTGTGATGTCGTCGATGGACTGCGGACCTGATGCGTCCTCTGCGACGCGCGATGTGCATCCAGGCAACGAGGCAGCGACCCCCGTGCAGGCTGCCGTGGGCGAGGCAGTGGCAGTGGAGGCCGCTGCGGTTGATGGCGCTGAACAGGCGCAGGAGCAGCAGCCCGAGCAGCAGCAGCAGCAGCAGCAGCCAGCCGGACAGCTGGAGACCATGCACGCCAAAGCAAACACCCTGGACTTACACTCCTTCATCGCACAGCTACCAAGGTTCGCTTCTGCGTGTGTGTGCGTGTGTCTGTGTATGTGCGTGTGTCTGTGCATGGATGTGTGTCTGTGTTTGGGTGTGTTTGTACGTGTGTGAATTTGCGATCCCCCAACTCTCCCCCCCCCTCTCTCTTGAATCGCTGGTGGTCTTGTTCACCTTTGATGACACACGTTTGATGTCGTCGTGTGCGCGGGTGTGCGCAGAGACCCAATCCAGGCCCACTTTGAAGTTGCAGAACACGTCGGCAAAGGCTCCCATGGAACCGTGTTTCGCGCCAAGCATCGTCTGTCGGGTACTCCCGTTGCCATCAAAGTGTGTTTGTGTGTATGTGTGTGTGTATGTGTGTGTATGTGTGTGTATGTGTGTATGTGTGTGTATGTGTGTATGTGTGTGCGTATGTGTATGTGTATGTGTGTGTGTGTATGTGTGTGTGTGTATGTGTGTATGTGTGTGCGTATGTGTATGTGTATGTGTATGTGTATGCTTGTTTGCAACCCCCCCCCCCGCCAAAACAGGTTCTTGACTCGCACCACATCGCTCGCGTCACCCGTCCACCATTCACCCTTCACCCTCCCTCACCCTCTCCGGCATCCACTGCCAGGAGGTGACATTGACCCACGGTGCGCGCCCTCGCGAGGTGGAGCACCTGCACCAGGAAATCTACTACCACTCGCTGTGTAACCACCCGCACATTGTCACGCTGTACACCGTCTACGTCAACGAGTGCCACAGCGGCACCGTGTACTACTTTGTCATGGAGCTGCTGACCGGTGGCGAGCTGTTCGACCGCTTGCGCAGTGCTCGCCGCTTCACAGAGGCAGACGCAAGCCGCGTTACCCGCAACATCACCACCGCACTCCAGTACATGCACCGGCGTGGCATTGCACACCGAGATCTCAAACCAGGTTGGGTTACACGTCGTGAACCCGAAGAGTTTGTGTGTGGGGGTGTCTGTATGTGTGTGTGTGTGTGTGCATGCGTATGCGTGTACCTGTATATGTGTGTGTATGCGTGTGTATATGTGTGTGAAGTCCTCTTCGTTCCTGTTCTTCCACGTGCGCTCACAGCTGTGGTACTGCTGCTGCCGCTATCCCTGTGCTGGTGTTGGTACTTCTTTCAGAGAACATCATGCTGTCACACAAAGGCTGCGATCCGTGGGATCTCAAGATCATCGACTTTGGTCAGTGTGCGCGTCGCGTGTGTGTCTGCACACCAGTTGTCTCACTTTTTGTTCTCATTTGCCAACACGCCTGCACACTTGTGCTCACCCACACGTGTACACATACAATGCTCCGTTGTCTTCAACAGGTTATGCCCGCACGGGCCCAATGACAACCCCACTCGGTTCCGGTTTCTACATTTCCCCTGAGATCATCCACGCTTACCAATCGTACGTCCATTGCATCTCCTGATTCACATCAACTGTCCAGGGCTTTGTGTTGTAGCCTCCCTCATTTTTCACGCAACACACACTCACATGTACACGCGACGCACACACACATGCACACATGTACACACACACGCACATGCACACGCACATGCACACACACGCACACATGTACACGCACGCACACTTCCATTGCAGGCGAATGGCGTATCGGTTTGTGCCTGGCCGCCCTGCGCCATTCACATATCACACGCAGACGGACATGTGGACGCTTGGCGTCATCGTGTTTGTACTGCTTACCGGCAGACCCCCGTTCAAGTGAGTTCTTGGCCTGCGCCCGCTGCCCTGCCATTGCTGTTCTCGCTCCTTCTCGCGTTTCTGTTGGCTTTGCCCTTTCGATCCTCATCGCTCAACCCAACGCGCCTCTCTCCCTCAAACACGATTGCCACAATCAACACACGGCCATCACGGTCACACCGACAACCTCGACAATCACCACCACCACCACAATGATCATCACCACCACCACCACCATCACCACCACCACCACCACCACCACCACCACCACAATCATCACCACCACCACCATCACCACCGCCGCCGCCGCTTTCCAGGCGCGGACAGCGTCGGTGGTGGGAGGACGCCACGCTGCGCTCCAGCATTCTCGGCACCCGATACCGCTTCAAGCAAGAGGAAAACGTGTCCCGGGAGGCTCAGGTGTGTGTGTGTGTGGTTGTTTGTGTATGTGTGTTTGTGTGCGCGCATGTGTGGTTATGTTCCTTGTGTGGTTGTGTGAGTGCATGGTGGCATTTGGGTCACTACTTGGGTGAGCGGTTGTGTCATCAAATGTGCACGCCATCTTGATCTCCGTGGGAGCACGTGCCGTGTTTGAACAAAGCCGTGCAGTGGTACAACTCATGTTGTGGTTCTTCCTCTGCGCACAGGATCTCGTTGGCTCGCTGCTGCGCGTGGACCCGAAGGAGCGCTTCACTGCAGAGGAAGTGTTGCTGCATCCCTGGGTCGTCGGCAGTCCCGAGCTCGCCGCCCGCCACCTCGCCTCCCCCCGAAAGTGCGACCCCTACAACTGCTGCACGTTAATTTGCCCCTGTGTGTATGTATGTGTGTATGCATGCGTGTATGTATGTGTGTATGTGTGTGTGCGTGTATGCATGCGTGTATGTATGTGTGTATGTGTGTGTGCATGTGTGTATGTGCATGTGTGTGTTGCCAGCCAGAGTCTCTGACCCTTATCAATCGTATGTGCGTGTGTGTTGCAGGCTGCGTGAGGAGGAGGCTGCGGATTTGTTCCAGCAAGTACGAGAGGATATACACCAGGCGAGAGAGCAAGTCGATCATCTTCAACAAGCAGGTGTGGCTGGCGTAGTTGATGTGTTTGATGTGTTTGGTGTTTGTGCTTGCCACAATGTCCAACCCTGCGCGCGCGTGAGCGTCTGTGTTTTGTGTTTTCTGTGCGTTGGCAGCTTTGTTATTGGTGTTCTCGCCGTTCACCGATTACCCTCCCCCCCCCCCAACAAAAAAATAACTGCAACGTCACGGACGATGCAAGACGCGACCAAAGTTGCAAAGGCGTCTGGCAGCCGCATGCGCGCACGAATGGAGAGGCGCCGAAAGGTAACACCAGCGGGCTGGTGTGTGTGCGTGCGTGCGTGCGAGCGTGCGTGCGTGCGTGTGTGTGTGAGTGTGGGTGCATGTATGTGTGTGTGTGTGAGTGTGTGTGTGGGTGTGTGAGTGAGTGAGAGTGTGTGTGTGTGGGTGTGGGTGTGTGTGTGTGGGTGCATGTGCGTGCGTGCGTGTGCGTGTGCGTGGTCCTGTGTTTTGCTTTTACTTCGTGCTCACATTTTGACACACACACACGCTCACGCTCACGCACACACATACACATGCGTGTGTGTACAGCAACAGCGCGAGCAGAATGACGCTGGCAGTAAGCACGCAAAGCAAGGTAACGTGCCCGCCCCGCCACAACAGCAGCAACAGCAGCAGCCGCCACAACAGCAGCAAGAACCGTAGGAAACATCGCCTTACAAAAGCAACTCAATCCCTCCAACCCTCCACCTGTTGTGCATTGTTCCCTTCATGCACACATACATGCCAACAAGCATGTCGTTCGTCTTTGTTTTGAGAGGTTGAATCTGAATGCGTGGATTCAATTATTACGTTACGACACCTGACCATGAATGTGAAATCACACACCACGTCAGCAGTAAAGAGGAACCACAAAAGCAACAGGGCCAAAAGAAACAAGAAGAAGAAGCAAAACAGAAGCAAACCACAGAAACGTGCTTGCTTGCTGGTCCCAAACCATCATCATTCGTATCGACAAAGCAGAACAAACGCGCGCACACACTCAGCTGTACGGAGTCGAACAGCAACGGCACCACATGGAAGCAGAAGCTAGTGAAGCAGCGAAAATGTCACGTCACACACACGCACAGACGGATACAGACACACGCACAGACGGATACAGACACACGCACAGACAGATACAGACACACACACGCACACACACACACGCAGACACACACACGCACACAGACACACAGGCGGACAGACATGCAGCTCCCTACACCAAATCAGTTGACACATCAGAAGGAAGGTGTCTTCTGCTGTCGCGCCCGCGCTGCTGTGATCGGCCATTGGGTGCACCATCACCACGACCATCACCACGACCATCACCATCGCCCACCACCACCGCTGTTGTCGTCATCATTGCCGCTTTCCTCGTTGAAGATGCTCTGCCGAGACATGGCCTTGTACAGCTCCGTGAATCGCGTGTTTGGATCGTTCACCAGCGTGGCCAGCTGCCCAAACGAATCACGCCGCGACATGGGCGAGGTCACGCTGCCCTCATCACCTGCACCGCTCTCCTCCTTCTCTGCCCCGTCCGTCGTGCGCGCCACGTGCTGCGGCTGCCGCTTGATTGTGCGTTCTGGCGACGCCGGGCTCTGCACGCGAGGAGGCGTCTTGTATCCGCTGGCATCCGGCGGCGTGGTTGGTCGCGGCCGTGTCAGGCTCAGGTGCATGGGCGCGTGCAGGTGCGAGCGGTTGCCGCTGCTGCTGCTGCTGCTGCTTGCTGCTGTGGCGGCATTTGTGGTGTCGTGGCCGGTCAACATGGAGGAGCTCCCACGGTGCTCCACATGCACAAAGTCGCGCGGGGTGGAGATGATGCTGCTGTCCAGGCGTTCCAGCGGGGCCTTGCTTGCGCGCCGCCCACTCGTCGCAAACGTCATGCGCCGTGACGTGTGCTTGGTGGACATGGTCTTGCCGCCGCCGCCAACGCCAGCGCCAGCGCCGTGCCCAACCTTCTTCAGGTAGGCCAGGTTGAAGTAGGGCTCCTCCTCTGTTGGCCACAGCTGCACGAGGCAGGTTGAGTCAGACGCCTGCGCCGTGAACAGCAGCTGCCTCGGGTTGCACAGCCGCATGTTTGGCAAGTGCACCACCTGCACAAACTCGCCCGTGATGACATCCAGCACCTCGACATGGCTGCTGCCGATGCAGAACAGCAGCTGCTCGTGCACCAGAAACGACGTCGCGTCCACCGACCACTTGATGTACGGCTTCTCCCGTGCCGGGTAGCCAATCTCCGTCACAAACAGGCCAACCTTGTTGAAGCACAGCAGCAGCTCCCGCACCGCCCCACGCATGGGCGTGACATCAAGCACCATGCGGGGCTCCAGCCCGTGCTTTGCCGCGTTGCTTGGAAGCGCAAACTCAATCGACTCAAAGCCGGGGGCGATGAGGGTTTGCGGCCGCAGCTTTGCGCAGTCGTACAGCGTGAAAGTTGAGTCATACGCAACGGCAAGATAGCCGTCCAGGAACGTCAGCAGCGTGGCCGGCGCAGGTAGCACTACCTCCCTGCGATTAACACGTGCACAAGCCATACAGGTGTGGGCGGCGGGTCAGTGTGTGAGTGAGCGAACATAAAATGGGTCAAGTGTGCATCCCGTGGAAGTGTAAAGGGACGGAATCTCTGTACTACTACAACAACAACAACAGCAACAACAACAACAGCAGCAACAACAACAACAACACACACACGCAGAGCAAACCAAGTGCGGGTGTGTGCGCACCGTGGCGTGTCTGGCTGGCCGGTTGGCTCGACGGGGATCACGAGGACGGTTTTCTTGATGAGAACAGCCAGAATAGCCTGTCCCTTCAGAACACCAGTCGCCACTATTCATCCATCACACACACACACACACACACACACACAAAAGAGTTCGAGCGTGAGCACATGTACTGGCTGAGCTGTGGATCACACGTCAATGTGAGGTTTGTGTGCGCGCGTGAGAGAGACTGTGTGTTTGTCCCCCCCCCTTATCTCTCTCTCTCTCTTTTTTTTCTCTGTGCTAGCATGTACATGTGAACAGCCTACCAAGGGAGCATCCTTTGGTCTCGGGCAGCTTGGTTCCTTCGTCGCCACGCCGAATCGACGCCTTGAGGTCAAAGAGGCGAACCTGGGGCGTCTTGCCGTACACAACCACAATCAGATTCTGGTCGGGCAGAGCAGACACGTGCGAGACGTGCGTCAAGCGCTTCGAGTCTGCAAAGGGAACAAACGTGCGCGACTTGAGCTTGGCGAGCAAGAGCCCAAACGGCCCGCCGACGATGGCCGTCTGCTGGTCAATGACAGCGGCACACGTCACTGCCTTGATCTCCGCACAGTCGAGTGACGACGCGACACGCGATGACGACACCACGTCCAGCGGTGGTGCAAACTTGCGGGCAGCGTGCAGGTAGCGACGGAACTTGGCGAGCCAGTCGGTCTGGGCCTACAGGTGGGTGGTGTGGTGGTTGTGTGGGAGGATGGGCGGAAGCATGGCAATGCAGAAGAGGGGGCGGTGCGATGGCGTCATCAAGCGGTGGGAAGCACGACACGAGCACAGCACGATCAAGGCGCTTTGGCATGTTTGTTTGTGTGGCGTGGGAAATGCGATGAGACGACACCAAACAGGCAAATGGAAACGGGTGATAAACGTGCAGTTACTGAGAAATTCGGGCGGCTGTTGCCGACAAACTGACGATACCTTGACTTCGTGGGCCATAAACAGGAGCGTGAACTTGAGGTTCGTGCCATGCTCCACCACCGTCATTTTGAAGATGCGAGGAATGTCCCGCGAGTTGGCGTGGATCACATCCGCAGAGGTCACAGCGTCCACCTGCATATACGTGGAAGGTGGGGTAAAAGGTGGTTATTGTGCGTGTAATAGGCAGGTTGCGTGGCGTACGCAGACACCAGCACTTGCATACAGGCGGCAATGGGGCTCAGCCACTGTCATATGCACACTGTTACACAAACACACACACTTTCAAATACACACATTCACAAACACGCACACACACACACACCTTCAAACACACACACACACACAGAGGGAGAAACAACACTCACGTCGACGCGGTTCCTGATGAGGTCGACCATGACAATTGGATGGCGTTTTGCCAGTGCAATCCCAGAGTCAAGCGGTGCCAGCGCCGCAACAGACTCGGCGCGCTGTATGAATTTGCACGCGGGTGTACACAACTGTGAGCACCGAGGAAAGTTCAACACGCTTCGTGGTACGCATAGGCAGAACTATGTGGAGGTGAACACCCGCGCGCGCTGAGAACACATCTTCCGAGTGAACCGCAAACCTCGCGCATAGAGAGTGGCTTGCTGACCTGAAGACGTGTGTTGAGTGCGTGCACGCGCATGACGCCAGCCTCCACGCGGCAATATGCCTCCAGCCATCCTTTGCGCACACCGGCCGGCTTGGGGACAAACAACTTGCCCTCCACCAGTGGCAGTTCCTGAGCACAAGCACAGCCACACAGAGGCAGTGTTAGCATGGTGATCTCGCAGGCAAGCACGCGCGTGTGCGCGTATGTGAATGTGTGCTCGTGTGTGTGAATGTGTGCTCGTGTGTGTGAATGTGTGCATATGAGTGTGCATCGTATGTGGCTAGGGTTATGCACAATGTGCGCTTGGTGTGATGTGGAATGCTCATCAGCTGACAGTGGCGAACCTTCAACTGGCCAGCCGCATAGGATGCACGAGAAATGCGAGAGTCGCGGCCTGGATGTGATGATAATGAAGAGCGAGCAACAAACAGTATGCGCATTCGATGGTTTACGTGAGTGGTCATGACAGTGTGGGTTCCGGTACGCAGTTGTGACAGCAGTTGTGACTGCGCAAGTTGAAAGAGTTACAGGTGCACGCAGCATGGGGTCGACGAGGAGGCAGCAAGCACAGGGAACAGTGCAGGGTAGCAAGAAGGGAGAGCACATGGCACGAAGATGCGAACCGGTGTGGCCGTTGTGTGTGCTGCTACGACTGGAGGCAGCGTCGTGTTGCTGGGAGACGTTGAGGGTGTAGCCCGAGGACAGCGAGCCGCGTCGTTTTGCGTCATGCTGCAGGCGATCCCGCTCCTCAGCGAGCAGATTCACCTCGTTCTTCAGCGCTTTGTTCTCCTGCCAAGCAGAAACAACGGCACAGCAGGCGAGGCAAGGCGAGATGAGGTGGGGGGGGAGACGGGGCATCACCAGAAGAGCACAAGTGACAGCCGACACGAATGCACCTAAACCCATCGAGGGCAGCAGGCAGGTGCGGCACGATAACACATACACATACACGAACACAAACAAACACACAAACACACAAACACACAAACAAACAAGCAAAGGAGCAAAGGAGCAAGGAACAAGAGCGGGGCAGCGTACGGAGCGGATGGCGATGAGTTCCTGTGCTTCTGCCTCTTGGCGGGCGCGCAGGGCATTGAGCTCGGCGAGGGCCTGGTTTTTCGCCTGGGCCTCCTGATCGCGCTCCTGCTGCAGCTGCCGCAGCTCAAGTCGCTCAACCTTCTGGTTGCGCCGTTGCTGCCGCTGGTGCTTCTCCAGGAACGTCTTGGGCGAGAGCCGGAGTTCCTTCAAGCTCTGCAGCTCTGCCTCCACAGCGGCCTAGTGGTGGTAGTGGTAGTGGTGGTGGTGGTGGTGGTGGTGGTAGTAGTGGTGGTAGTGGTGGTAGTGGTGGTGGTGGTGGTGGTGGTGGGTGTGGGTGTGAGAATGAGCAGTTGAGTGGTGATGGTGGTTGTGATGATGGGACGCATACGAAGAAACATATATTGAAATCAGGCTGCGCGATGCACAAGCACAAGAGCGAGTCCTTGGTGCGCATCACAAGACCACGAAAGCAACTACGCACGTCCTTCTCATGCAAGTCGTAGCCACACAACAGCAAACACGCCACTCGGGCTCTCCTCACAACCGCCAACAAACAAACAGCAGCGAAAAACCAAAGTGGCGCACCTTGAGGCGGTCGAGCTCAGCGTGCGCGTCCTCGTACTCCTTGACTTGCTGCACCAGCTCCGCCAGGGTGTCTTCCACGTCGTACCCGGCAGACGACTGCGACCGCAAGCGCTCCAGCTCTTGCTCCTGCGTCTCCGTCACCACCATCAGCCGCTCCACCTCCGCCTGCAACGCAGTAATGTCCTCCTCCTTTGTCTGCATGTCGGCGCGGAGGGCGTCGTTGCTCGCCTCGAGCTCCTTGACAGACGTACGGCTGGCATCAACCTCCCGCACAGCACGGTCCAAATCGCGCTGCAGCTCGGCGTGCGCCAGCTTGGACGACTCCTTCATGTCTGCCTCCAGCTGTGAGATGCGCTGCTTGAGGACTGTCTGCTGCTCGTCGCTCCTGGCCTTGGCCAGCTGCACCTCCTCCCGCAGCCCGGCCACGGTCGTCTGCAGCCGCTGGTTTGTGGCCAGCAGGCGCTCCTTCTCCTGCTGGTGCTGCTCGCGCGCCTGCTCAACAGCCTTCTGCACAGCCGAAGCGTCGTGCCGCCGCGCCGCCGCCTGCGCGCCCAGCAGCTGCTGCTCGAGCTCCGAGATGGAGGCCGTGTGCGCCTCGTTCTGGCACAGCGGCGTGGCCATTGGTGGGAGGTGGGCAAGAGTGCGTGAGAGGCAAGTGTTTCACGGCGTGTAAGTAGGCACGCTAACAGCTTACGCACAAATGCAACGGCCAACAGCCAGCAAACAAAACAGCCGGCAGACACACACACACAACGGAAGCACAAAGGGATGCTCTCATTTTCACAACATAACCAACACAAGGCACGCAAAGAACACGGCTTCACCTGCTCCCTGAGCTTGGTTTGGAGCTGGGCAATGCGCTGTTCTGCTTCGCGCAGCTCCGCAGTGCGCTGCTCCGCCTCCTTGGACGTCGACGACGACACGCTGCCGGCCTCATGCAGCTTGGCCGTCAGCTCCTTCACAGACCGCTGCTCAAGCACAAGCAGCTCCTTGGCGTTGTCGTACTTGTCTTCAAGCTCCACCTTCGTTCGCTTCAATTGGCGGATCTGTGTCTCTGCGTGCGCGAGCTTGTCCTCCAGGTCAAGCACTTGCTCCTTGCTGCTGCCGGCCGACTTCTTCAGCTGCTGGTGCTGCAGCTGCAAGTCTTCCAGCTCCTCACGCAGCTCTGTGCACTCGCTCTCCAGCGACTGCGCCTGCAGCGTCAGCTTCGACACCTCCTTGGACGCCGCAGCGCTTGCCTCCTGCTGTGTCTTTGTGTTGTCGGCCTCCGTGGCCAGCTTGGCCTTGAACGTCGCCGCCGTGTGCTCTGCCTCGTCTGCGCGCGTCTCTGCAGCCTCAAGCTTCTCCTTCACCGATGCCATCTCCTTCTCCAGCCGCATGTTGCGTACGTTTGCTTCGTTGAGCTTGCGCTTTGCCTCTGCCAGCTCAAGCGTCGTCTGCGAGCCGTCCGTGCTCAGTGCCGACCGCAGGTGCACAGACTTTGGGCGCTGACTGCGACGAATCCCGCCTTTCTTTCCGCTCGCTGCTGTCTCATCACTGCCACTGCCATGACTGCTGTTGTCCGTGTTGTTCTTCCCACCACCACCGGTTGCCTCCTGCAGTTGTCGCTCGAGTTCCAGCACACGCAGCTCAAGCTTCTGGTTTGTGCTGACGAGCAGGCTGTTGTTGCGCTGCAGCTTCCTGCTCGGCGACGTCACGTCAAGCAGGTCGCTCGAACTCCGCCGAAGCTCCTGCGAAACAAAGGAAAAACAAAAAAAACAAAACAAACACACACACACACATTGTGGGTCAAGCATTGGGTTGAAAATGGAATTGTGTTGAAAAAGAAAAAGGAACGCCCTACTGTGTGCATGCGTGCACTGAAATAGCGCACGCACACATGCACGTTTGCCTGATGTTAGTGATTGAAGTTGGGAGTGAACGCAGGTCTCAATGCCCTGCACCGTGTCACGAAAGCGCCAACGTGCACTTGACTCACAGCCATGGTTGTTCGGCGAGATGTAAAGGAGAAGCCAACAAACGGCAAATGCATGCCCGAAAAAGTGCGCCCTGTTGCCGGCCGCTTGGCCTGCCATGCCAGGATTGAGAGAGAGGGGAGGGGGATGTGTGGGCGAGTGTGAGTGTATGGGGTAGTGGCAACTGTGCCGGTGCGTGAATGAGGGTGGCGTGGATGAATGACGCAACAAGAGGCATGCACAGCAAGGCAGGCGTGGGTGCACTTATGCAACGTACGCTTGGTGCCGGCTGGTCTTCGACGGGGTCAAAGTTGCTGGTGTCTGTTGAGCTGGTCACCGTTGGCTTGTACGGCGCTTCCTCTGTCGTACACAGATGACAGGGGAGCAGGTAAGCGAGTTCGACCAAAAATAGTTCAAGGAATCAACGCTCTTCAACAAAGCACACACACGCACACACGCACACACACATGTGCATGTGCACAACAACACAGGACGGACCTGTGTGGATTGCAGCCCAGTTGACGCCGTTGAAGAAGGGGTGCTTCTTGAAGTCGTCAATGCCGTGGCGGCCCAGCCGCTTCGACGAATCGCACAGCAGCCGCCGTATCAGGTCCTGCACATGCAGGCAGTCGCGCGCCATGTGTGAGGGTGTGTGCGTGAGGGTGTGCGTGTGTGCGCATGTGCGTGACGGCGAGAGAGAGAGAGAGAGAGAGAGAGAGAGAGAGAGAGAGAGAGTGTGTGTGTGTGTGTGTGTGTGTGTGTGGGG